ACATGTTGTTAGGGCCGATACCTGGATAACCTTAGCAGGTGAAAGAGTTTGACCATTTTCAGGTTCACAAGATGAAACCTTCTCAGATTCAGAAACATAGCCTTTCTCGGTCACATCAGAGGATGTTTCCGGAATTGGTAAACCTGCCAATGAGGCAACACTTGCAGCAGGCCTTTCGTCATTGTTGAGATGTTTTGACACGTTGACATTGAGAGATAATGCTTGACATTTTTGCTCATCAACTATAGTCGCTGTGGAGAGCATATATATATAAAAAACACAAAATTTAGGAAACACGAAAAGGACTAATCGCTACATCATCTGCAGCAAGCAGCAGTCACAGTAACACTGGGTGGACAGAGGAGCAGGAAAAAAGTGCCAAAAGAATGAGAAAGCAAAAGGACTAGATAACAACATAATTGACATGTCACCTGGAATTGTATCAGACTGAGATTTTGATTTTGTTAGCTTGAAGGCAGAGGCTCCTGAAGTATTATCAAGGGACTCGAACGCAGTTCTTTCAGATACAATTTGGGGACTACGGTCATCACAGTCTACATCACAAACATTGGAATCCAAATCTGTTCTCTGCTCAAAACTGCCTTCACTATCGGCACTCTTACAAGAGACTCCATCTACACGAACAGTTTTGCCTGATTCATCCATCATGTCAACGGGTGAAGTACGGACAGCCTCAGAAGTTTCGACTTGATGACTATGTGTAGGTCTCTCAGTCCAGAAAGAAGATTCACACTCATTTGCAACGGTTTCTAAATTCTTATGACTCAGCAACTCAGGCTTTTCCTCAGCAGGTATATTTTCACCACTCATTACCTTCCCAGATAGATCAACAGATATCTCGATAGTTCTACTAGCATGAGAACCACTGACAGGGATATATTGGCATTGTGCCTCCGAATCATTAAACGAGCCCAAAACATCTAGTCCACCAGCCTCAAGAACTGCCGGACTTTGGCTTCTTTCGGACACTGGGAAATCAGATAGTTCAGATGGCATCAAATCAGGCTTTGCCATATTACCAACATTTTTTGCTTCCACATTTTCCCGTTTAGAAGATGAGATCACATGACTATTAATAGGAGAATCAACCGAAACCGACTTTCCATCTCTGTTCAAATCTTCAGGAGTATAACTGCTACTCTGCATACTGACACTGATATTATTTTTCTCATTGAAATTCTCCAGATGCGAAGTCTTCTGAGTATTCAACTCACTAATAGAAGTAATACTATTCTGCACAGATCCATCTCTACGATCATTTTCCATCCTTGAATCTGAAGAAACTTCATGCTCCCTTTTGTCAAGAAGGCATTCAGTTGTCTCAGAGACCATCTTATCTTGTTCAGCAAACATCTTTTCTGCATCTCCAGGGCCATTCTGTGAGCTCAGAGTAACAGCAACCTCTCCAGTACCAGTTCCAGAGGCCTGGATGGAACCACTGCCCTCCATAGATAATTCATGTGCAACATTTGGTAAGGCATCTTTAACCAAGGGCTGTTCCAGTCCAACATCTTCAAGCGAAACAGATGACTCACCAGGAGTCTCATCAAAAGATGGGTTGGGTTGCAAGTTCACTGCTTCAACTATGGAAAGACCCTTCTCACCACAAGTCTCACTGGGCTCCATTTGCTCTATGCAACCTAGTACATTACAAATGTCAGATTTGTTAACAGTATCTTCTCTTGCCATTATTTCATCCTGCCCAACTGACTTCAAAAGCATTTCAACAGATTCTGTCGATGTAGCCTCCGACCAAACATTATTGTGCCGTGAAATGGCACAAGACTCTGATGCACTTGAACTAAACACCACACCACTATTCCTTTGGGAGAATTCCTCGATCCAGTTATTAGCTTCGTTACCCTCAGTACCAAGAAAAACCTCAGTTTCGACAAAACTGTCAAATCTCAGATTCCCATTGAGGCTGTCATCAAAATCAAACTTCGGAAGAGCATAAGGCTGCAACACAGGCGGGTATTTATTGTTAGTTTCACCAGCTAAATGAAGATTCTGGCTTTGAAACTCGATGTCATCATAATCCATGGGTTTATTCCTGCAATAATGAAAACAATAGTACATCAGATAACAGAAAAATCAGCAGACTCTGTCTCCAAATTTGAAAGGATTCAGTATAATAAGACTATGGCTAGAAATAGGTGCCAAAAAATTGCAACAGAAATCTACGTGTCACACTAGAAAACACCTGAAAATACATTGCTGGACATCAAGATAAAAGAACTAACACCAAAAGTTCAGGAGCAGAAAAAAATCGACCCGTACATAGGCAAGCCACCTTCTACGGAGACCCCCAAAAAAAATCTAATACCCACTTTAATAACTCCAATGAGTACAAAAATTAAACGAGCAAACGTATAAATTCACGTCGCGTCGAGTAACCAACAGGAATTGATAAGTACAGGAAGAAGAGTAAGTAGAGACAATACCTCCCTCCATTCGGCGACGAAATCCTGGGTATAGCACCTCAACTCATACCCAATCGCAAGTTCTTCTACTGCTCCGAGTAACAATACAACAGGCGCGTCAATACTCTCCCCCTCGGGTTCAGTTGAAAATTTCCAAATGAACCCGTAAGAATCCAAAACCCTAGACGAGTTAGCCTACGCACAACTGAGTGAAATGACAGAAAAGGAGAAAAACTCACCGGAAAATTTAAATTCCCGGAGGACAGTCTAGGGTTCCGGCGAACAGGAAGACGGAGAGGAGAGAGAAGGAACGAGTTTTTCATTTTTAAACTCGTAAATTTTTTGGAGGTAAAAATAAATAAACAAAAGGGATTCAACGAGACACGTGGCAGACTACGAGGCGTTCGATATAGGAAAAAGGCTGATTCGTTGGATGGAATGGATAGGGCCTTGCCCGTTCAAACAGGCCATGGCCCATAATACACGTCACCTACTTAACATTCTCAAGTAATGAGAGGATTTTATTTCTACCAAGCCCAACCCGCTCATGTTTTTATCTTTTACGAATCCACATTGATTTCGAATAAAAATGCAATTTTATCAATATATATATATATAAGAAGTGTTTTTTTTCCGTTTTTATTTAAAATTACTACTTATTAGATACTTTACCAACAAAATATAAACCAACAAGGCTCCTTTTTAAAATCTTATTATAAATGAACCAACCATAACTCCAAAAATCTCGTAATAAGGTTTCTTTTATTTTTTGAAGTACTCAAAAGAAGAAGAAAAAAAAAGAGAGAGAGAGATAATTCCAGGCATACATTATCATTCCGTTCTTAGTAAAAAAAACCCATCCATATATATAATCAAACATCAAAGATCAAGCGCGCGATCTATCTCCCTTGGATGATCTCCTCTTGAAATGCCTATCCTCATCGCTCGATTCCCCAGACTCCGTCTCCTTCCTACTGTGACCCACTGCCGCTGCCGACGAAGATTGCTTCCGCCGTTTGCTAGACGCCTCTTCCTCCGGGTAGCTTATACGAGCGAATACGCTAGACTTATGATTCATCTCCGCCTCTGATCTACTCGCCTTCGACCGCCTCTGCTCTCCCTCTCTCCGATTCCTGTCGTCATCCCGTCGCTCGTGGTGACGAGGCCTTTCACGATCACGCTCGTCCAGACGACGGTCGTGTTGACTTCTCTTCGACTCTCTTGGCGGTGAAGGACGCTCCGACGACAATCTCTCCGGTCTTCGGCGGCGGTCGTAGCCCTCCATCAGTTGCGGCGGTGCTTGCCTCTGTCAGTACACCACCACGAATCAACGTTAATATTATATATCACCACCATTTCCATATCAAGGGGGTAAAAAAAAAAAAAAGAAATAAATCACTCAACATCGGCCCAATCATTGAGTGATGGGCCTACACTAATATTGGGTTTGGCCCACAATAGTTACTGCTTTATCTGCCTTCCTACCCCACCTGTTGGGCTTCGGATCTCTCTCTGTTCTTTTCTCTTTTTTTTTTTAAAAAAAATTCTATTCCGATTTATGTCGCCAGCCACTGTTACTGTTTGGGATGAGGAAAGATAAAACAAAATAGCAGAACACAACCAGATTTTGTAAACTGAAATGCAAATGCAATAAAATACCATTCTCACATTAGGCCCCCTTTCTGCATTTTTTTCTACTTTTCTTTTATTATTTTGAAGCCCTGTGACCTTGAGAGGATCCAACCGCTTCAAGACACCTATCATCTTTGGATGACAAAATACCTTTCTTTTATAACCCAGAAGGAAACAAAAAAACATCAACTTTTCCTAATAAGCATGAACCCTACACCAATGCGAACTCAACCCAGAACTGATAGCACCACAATTCCCGTTTTCCGACGAGATTGCCAGGTGACTTCCGCACCATTTCAGGGTTTAGATGGATTGATCGCCCCCACCCCAAAGTCATTGTCTAAAGGGTTCTCTCTCTCTCCTAGGCGATTAAACCTTGCCTTGGAGACAGACTAAACAATAAATGATGCCTATTTCTCTATCTACAATGCAAAACCAAAGGAAGAACAGAGAGAAGGCGCATTTTCTGATGGGAGAGAAGAAATGAATGAAAGGAGGGTCCTTTGGCCCCTT